GCTCCGGTGAAGAAGGTACGATCACCTTTTTGGATTTTCCTTCTTTACTACAGTTTTCTCTGCACGTTCTCTGTTTTATAATTAATTAGATAATAAATAATAATAATAAAAACAAGTAACTAATATAACTGTGGAAAATTCGAGAGAGACAATAAAATGATAATTTGAGAGGAAGGAAGACAGAAACAGCAAACAAGAGAATTTGACTCAGCCGCCTTTTATTACTTTCTCTCACTTTGTGTTCACATTTCCATTTTATATTTTCCCTTCTAAAAAAAGAAATTAATGACTACAAGTAATTTGAAGTTGGGGGTAAATCGGTAATTGTATAGATAATTACCTACTATACAAATATTTGTATGCAACTATATCTAAAAGAAAGGTAAATTTCATAAGCAAGAGTTTTTTTTTTTTTTTATGAATGAATCTACAGTCAATCGTATAGGTGCATTTGGCAAATATATACACGTGTATAGTAAGGTTTGCGTAAACAACATTAGACTAAAATGTGTGACAAACTTAATTTAGTGAATGTTTATAAGGGAATTTGAACTCGACTGAGAAATAGAAGTAAGAAATACGGCGCGTGGGGTTCAAATCTATGCCCAAGTCGTACACCGAGTCAGCCCCAGTCACATCGACAAGATTCCAGAGTAGAAAAAAAATATTCTTCTCAAATAAATAAAGAAAACAAAAAGTGTGTAGAAAATTATGCAAACTAATTCCACAGAAATTGGTGTTAGTGGGGCGAACTTTACATTTTATGAAGCCCAAGGAATAATCCGGCCCTTTAATATAATTATTATGGGCCCAACTTTTTTTTTTTTTTTTAATTCTATTCCGTATTATGTGTTTTATTGACCAGTTGATTTGACTATTATCTTACTGCTATTACACACAATCTAATGATATTTTAATTTTTTAGAACTAGTTGATTGAATTATGCAATAGAGACAAACAAATTATCAGAAATTGTGGGAAAATCAACTTTTTGATAGCTCCACCCTTTTCTTTAGTTATTGATGAACTCATGAGCCTTTCTTTTATATTTTTTATATATTATTTTTTATTTAAATAATATTAATAATATAAAATGTTATAATAATAATATAAAAGAACACATAGAATTACAAAAAGATATAATTACACTTCATTATTTATTTATATTTTTTTTTGTTATAATGTAACTAATTTTTTATAATAAAAAAAAATTAAAATGAGTTTGAGGTCCAGCTCGACAAAATGGACTCCCGCTTAGGGGTGCAAGTTGGAACGGAAGTTCCAATTTCCGCCGGTTCCGATTCGAAAAATTCCGATTTTGGAACAACGTTTTTCATTCCGACTTCCGAAATTCCGATTTCCGGAATTTTCCGAATTTTTTGGATTGGAATTGGAATTATATAAAAAAAAAAAAAATTGGAATTTCCGATTTGCGATCCGATTTAATTTCCGAAATTAATTCCAAAAAATACACCTATAAATAATATATATTATATAATACTTTATTTAAAAAAAATTGTTTTCTGAAATAGTAATTTGTTTTAGGATTTTGACATAATGAATTGTTGTTAGAAGTTTTACTGGAAATTATGATGTGGTTTATTTTTATTTATTTTATTGGATTGAAATTAGTAGTTATTAGTTTTATTTTTATCGACGTGGATGTTCTTACTTTTGGAAAATTATGAAATTTTCAAAAAAAAATCGTTAATTTTTTAAATTTTAAAACCTATTTGATTTCCGAATTTTCGAAATTTCCGGGCCTTTTGGAATTGGAATGAATTTTTAGATTCCGGAAATTTTGGAATTGGAATTGGAACTGATCTTATACTTCCGATTGTTTTTGGAAATTTTCCGAAAATGCTATTTCCGATCCGATCCGCCCGACTTTCACCCCTACTCCCGCTCGAGCTCAATCCTGCCAACTATAATGATTTGACAATAAATTCTCAAGGATTCTTAGCTATATCTCCAAAAAATCAACTAACTTAGATGTCTTTCACCACTTGCAATAAAATTAAAATAGACTCTGACATTTAAAACCAAAAACCAGACAACATTGCTTCCATATCACACATGACACAACACTTCAGAAACATATCTAATCAGTTAATTTTATTACATAATGTAAGGCAGCTTAGAAAATAAAGAGGATCCTTGATTCTTGTATATTCAATCTTCCAAAAATGAATGAAATATGTTTTTTTTTTTTTACATATATCTATATCTATGTTGAAGAAAATCGAACTCCAAGAAAAAGGGCGGAAATTTATCGCGACGAAACGAACAAGACCTAACCTTATTCACGTGTGTAAAAGGTATCTAAACCTAAATTCATAAGGCATTATCCGAAAAGATTGCACGCATTTCATTGCTTCTTTTCCAAGTTCGGTTGGTAGTTGATGACATATCCAATCCATCAACGAATCGAAATCCTTGGCAAAATCGAGCATGTACCAATCCAGTAACTTTGGTATTGCTATAGATCTTTGACTGTTCGAAATGCCGATTGCTGCTTGTTAGTACTCTCTCTTTGCAGTTCGAGCTCGTTTCAACTCGAGATGCAGTGTAAACTCGAACCTTTAATATGAAACATATCGAGGTGGATGGATGTCTTAAAAGTGGCATTAGTATATATTTTTTTTATTTGGATGAATTATTTTCGATAAACTTACAGCAGGAGAGGACCAGCTTCCACAAGAGAGAGCAAATGTAACCAACGGTTCGGATAATTCCAATCCGAGAATGCCACGCGTCATCATCTCGTGGTACTCCGTGGCTTTCGAGAAAGTCTGCAAACAGTCGAATTAATAGGATGTCGAAAAAAACAAAAACTGTGAGTTTAGAGTTAATTATCTTACATATTTCGAGTGATAAGGCAGTCTCAGAATGAAATGCTCGATGGTTATTACATTTAGAACGTGCCCGCCGACATTTACCGTTGCCTGAGAGAAACATTAAATTTCTATTACATGGATTAAAAATAAATAAATAAATCACAAGTTATGAAGCAAATTTACCATTTGCATCAGCTCAACAACCCTTTCGGGACACTTTGGAACGCCGTACTCGATAAATGCCTGATGAAAACAAATTATTGATCATCTTTTCTTTGCACCTAAATATGTGTTAAATGACGATTTAATATCGAGTGGATTAAATATTAAATAGGAATTATTCTAACTCGTCGTACATTCATCATGCACGAATTGTAAATGTTTATCCAAAACGCAAGCTTTTCGTGATGGCTTAGTCCCTTGAAGCTAATTCTTGCAAGTCTCCGAAATAGAATCCTGAAAAATATGATGTGTTATATATATATATATATATATACAAAAATTTGCCATATAAGATAAATGAAAAAAATAAAAACTTACTTTAATCTTTGAACAAGAAATATGGATATAGTTGTTCGGTCTCGATCAATAGAGTCCGAGCCAATTGAAGATAAATGCTTATACGGACCAATATCTCTCGTACCGAACATGGAACATAAATTATAAGGATCACTATCAAAAGAAATTATCCGATTATTTTTGGAGCTCATTCTTGAAAACATGTTCATTAAGCATTTCAAAATGCTCTCGGATATTCTGTTTGGATTCTCGTCTATTAACGATATTTCCTCTTGATCCGGAATATTCTTCCCTTCTGAACTACAATCCTCCGTTACTCGCTTTTCCAACTGAAGAATCAAAAAAAGAAACCAAATTTAATCCACCACTTTTAAGTATTTCATCATTAAGTGAAACATATAAATATTTACACCTGTAATACAACCGATCTGCGTTTAATGGGATGCTTTTTCACGGGAATTTCTACCGGTTGTGCTTTTAAATTTGGTGATAGTTGTTTGTTCTTCGAGGAATCGGTGCTTGATCGGTTCTCTTTTTCTCTCATTTCATCTAAATCAAATTGGAGTTATAAAGATATAAGAAAATATTCGAATTCCGATAACGTAACAACGGTTATTCGACTAGAAACATTACCTGAAAGAGAAGGTAAAAGTGATGACTTGGATTGCTTCGGTTTAATTTGACAAAAATCAGCTGAATTATCGATATTCTTCTTGGACGAAGAAATGTAGACAGCTTCTTGATATAGTCCTTGTCTGAAATGAACTACTTTTTCTTCGAGGCGAACAACTTCTTCTTCCAAAACAGCCACTTCAGCTACAAGCTCGAGTGTCTACACACACACATCACTTCAGAAGTTACGATACTCTTCGTACAAATATTTATCAATTAAACAATTCATATTCCTTAAATTCTTTAAAAAAAAATTAAGGGATTGACGCTAACGTGAGCCGGAAGATACGGAGGGAGACGAGGAAGAGTTCCGGGCGGTCTGGTAAAGGCTCTCTCGAGAGCTCTGTGAACATTTTCTTCATGTCTAAGTCTTTTCTTTAACTTATCAACCTACAATATTAAACTTAAACAAAAGTTATAATTTTTATATACAAGAATAAAGGTGTGCAACTTAATAGACAATTACGAGTGTATATAATAAACGAAAAAAAAGCCCACATCTTGTTGCAATGCCATCTTTCGATCTCTAATCGAACTTCGATTACGACGGCTCGCACTTGGTTTATGAGCATCCATTATCCAGCTACTCTGCATTTTTTCCACTTTCTCCTGCTAATAAGTATGCAACTATACATCAGCTTCCACAAGAAAGGAACTATTAAACATTAAAAAAAAAAAAACACAATAACCACAGAAAATCGATTCCACATTTTTCAGTAACCCGAAAAACCAAGATCATAAAATACCCGATTCGATAT